CCCCCCCCAAAAAAAAAAAAAAAAAAAAAAAAAAAGCTACCGTCGAATCCGGCCGCCGTGCCGGAGTTACGCCGGGCGATGATTCTGAGCCGCCAGAGAGGACCCATCATACAGCCCCATGTAATCAACATTACTATTATTACTCCTCGACTCCTCATGAAAAAACCCCTCACCGGCGGAGAACATGAAGGGCGGTTGGTGCGGCGGAGGGTGGTTCTGGAACGGGAAGAGATACGGCGGTTGTTGGAGATGGTAGGCAGCGGGAGTTGGGTCGAATGCGGCGAAATTGTGGAGGGTATGGGAAGGGCCGCCAGTGAAGTGCTGGACCATGGCTCGGAAATTGGCAGCGTCGGTGTTGAGTAAAGTGGTTGGGGTTCGTCTAGAGGCTCTGGAGCGCTTCCGGACCGGCTTGGCGACACGGACCCCATCGGATGAGGGCGGCGGAGTAGTGGCGGCGGGGACAAGGGTGGAATCGGGGAGCCATTGATGAGCCATTTGGGAGGAAGTGGAGGAGGAGGAGGAGTTAGAAGAGTGGGGATTGGAGTAGATAAATAAGAGGATGGGTGTCACGTGAGAGAGGCACGTGGGGCTGCTGGTGTTTGGAGGATTGTTTCAAAGCTTCTGGAGAGGAATGGAATAATAAGAGGAAACTTTTTGTGTGGACTGTGGACTGCATGCTTCCTGGAAACCTGCTGCCATTCAATGCTCCTCTTAACGTCATATTCAACCTTCTCAAGTGCTAATTGTCTTTTTGTCTTTTGGGCCACCTACGGAATACCTATTGTACGGCACTTATTCTAACTAAGCGAACAAGTCAGCCGCGAGAGATTCGAACTTCGAAAAGGTTTAAAAAATGTGCGCTAGAAAATTATTTAAAAACGGTCTGAAAAAATGGAAGAAAATAACGTTATATGACTACGACAACAAGTCATATCCCCTTATAATACATTTTAGGGCATTTTAGCTGTAGTTGGTGTAGACATGATTTTGGTGAACGGTAACCCGTGAAATGGTAAAGGCTAACTAGGATGAAAACATGATTTAGAAAGGACATGCAACTATAAATAACATGTCATGGACAGATACAATTGGGACATTACAATATGTCTTGGACAAACATGACCGTGACACTGGTTTAGATAAGACTCGAACGGCCAGGTTGTCTTTTTTTATAATTATTTTTAAAAAATAATATTTATTTAGAATATTAAAAACTAAATCCAGTGACTACACATTAAATAAAAAAATAAAAATGACAACCAAATTTAATCTTTTTAAATAAATATATATAACTTGATTCATATGAACACTAATTTTAGTTTTTTGTTTAAAAAAAAACTTGTTTTTGTCTTTATTAGCATTTTTTTAAATAAATTTTTAAAAAGATATTTCCATAATGTTTTTGTTATTATTTAATTAATTTTGATAAATTTATTATAATATTATTATTTAATAATTTTTTATAAAATGAAAATAAAGACGCATCATAATTTTTTTAATAAAAATTTATAATTTTTAAAATTTTGAATTAAGTTCATAAGCTATTTTTTTAATTTGGTTTTAGTAAATTTATATTATAAATTATAAATTATAAATTATTGTTCTAAAGTTGCATCTAATCACACACACTTTATCAAATGACTCTAAAGTAAAAAATAATTTCACCAAAATTCAAAGCAAATTTAAAATTCACTTTGAATAAGGAAGAAAACGAGACAAATATTTCAAATTTGGGTATTTAATTTGCCCAAAATTATCCACTGTCGAACGAAATTTAATTCAACATGTTGTTGAAGACCAAAAATCTCTTAAATTGTCATCAGCTGTATGTCGAAGTCAAAAATGTTGAAATATTTACTGATATGAATGTTTTGACGAATATAACTATTCATTATTCTATCAATTTTAAAATAAAAAAATATTTCAATCAATTTAATTTCAGTATAACCATTTTAATCTATAGTATAGTTTTAACTTTATTTTTAAAAAATAATTATATATATATATATATATATATATATATATATATATATATAAAAGGGAGATTGAACCATCCATCTTTAAAATGATAATTTATATTTTTATCTATTAATATCTTTAGCTTTTAATTAATTGTTGTTTGAGAGGTACGTGTATGCACGGTTTAGATTGGGTTGGGTTGATAAATTTTTTTGGATCAACCCGATATATAAGGTTGGTTGAGCTAATGACTCGAGCCGCCCGAATAGAGTTCATAGCCCCACTCAACCTCCTATTTTTGAGTTGAGTCGGGTTGTTAAATTATTTTTTAGTCAGTATATAACAAAAAAAATTTGAAATTTACGGATTAAATAAAAATGATGTAATAATAAAACTGTAAAATTTAAAAATTTAGAGATAATTTTAAAAATTTTAAAAATTAAAAAAAAAACACGTTTTTTTTACAAAAAAGAAAAAAAAAAAAGACATGAATTAAATGGACATGGGATGCTATTGTCTTTTGATTTGGGTGGAAATTTCCACAAAATTAGGCTTCATTTTTGTTTGACCAAAACCGCTGCGGTTCTACAAAACCGGTTCCGCAAAACCACACAACATCTCTGGTTTTCACACCCAATCACTTCTTAATTACATCTCTTACCACTAATCACCCAATTCTAATGCATAGCTAAGTGAGATTAGTGGTTTAGTCATTTTAATTAGTTTTAAAAATTAAAACAATATAAACAAAATCAAAATAAACCCAAATCTAAAATTTTATTTCAACACAACAAAAATATATAAACTACAAAATAAAAGTATTATAAAAAAAAAAAAACTTAATATGTTTAAGTAAATTATTATTTTAAAAAAAATGGTAAAGAAATTTGACGGAATGCTAGCAGAAGACAAACAAATGATTATGGAATGACCTGTAGATCGGTTCCGAAACAAACTCACTTTAATTAGTAGATTTTGAACGATTTGAAAGAGAAAGTGATTGTGAATAGAGATGTCTACTAAATGGGGCGGATTGCTACTATTTCAATCTTCATTCTTGTAAAAAATTTTATTTATTTATTTTTTTTGGGAGCACTTGACACAATCGCACTTTTAAAGGCAGCGGACTAGCGATTGTGCGGCAGTCACTTTCCAACGACAAGTGAGCTAAGCCAATTTGTACTTGTGTCGCCTACGGCCAAGCGACGTATGATCGAGCCTCTAGCCTCGGTTTTAAAAGAAGGTTTTGGAAAACGAGGGTAGAGAGAGATTTTAGAAAGAGAGATTTTTGAAAGAGACGTTATATAAGCAAGCAAGAGAGAGATAACAACGGCTTAGCATATATAACCTTGGGTAGGGAGAAGTTGACAACTTATGAGAATTTTTTTTTCCATATTTTTTATATATTTTTTAAAAAATAGTAGTTTCACGAACAAATTTCATTTTTCAATATAATTTTTGATAAAAACCCATAAAATTAGATGTTGACATAGGGAGTGATTTGTTGTAGATAAATGGATTCAAACTTTCTACATTTGGTTGGACAAATTAGTCTCACTTAGGGATGAATTATAGTTTAATTTGGAAAATTTGTTCGAGACCGATAGGTATTAGGTGACTTTTCGAGTTCAATCTAGGAACGGGTCCATTGCTTCGTCGGGTATGTGACATCATGTTGATGTCTCATGATGTTTGTTTTATCATAAGTTTACGATTTTACTCTTACCCTTTTATTAAAATTTGATTATACGTGTCGAAAATATGGTAACTTGATATTGATAGATATAAGTATTCGTAACAAAATTGAACATGAATGTCGATAAAATACTCTTATCATGAGCATTGAGGTAGATTTCTCATAAAATGCTAATCTTACCGTTTTGGTCCATTACGTATCGCTATCAACCTTACGGTTTTAATACGCGTTAGCTAGGGAGAGGTTTCCAATCCTTACAAGAAACACTTCATCCCCCTCTTCAACCGATGTGGAATCTCACAATCCACCTCCTTGGGGCCCAACGTCCAGTGTCTGGCTCTGGTACCATTTATAACTATTCAATCCCACCGTTAGCTAATATTGTCCGTTTTAGCTCGTTACGTATCGTCGTCAGCCTCACAGTTTTAAAGTGTCTGCTAGGGAGAGGTTTCCACCCCTTATAAGGAATGCATTGTTCCCCTCTCCAACCGATGTGGAATCTCACAATTCATCCTCCTTGGAGTCCTAGCGTCCTCGTCAGTACACTATCCGGTGTATGACTCTAATACTATTTATAACAGTCCGATCCCACCACTAGCTAATATCGTCCATTTTGGCCCGTTACGTATCGCGGTCAGCCTCACGGTTTTAAAACGCATATGTTAGGGAGATGTTTCCACACCCTTATAAGGAATGTATCGTTCCCCTCTCCAACCAATGTGGGATCTCACACTGGGTAACGTCTAACCTTTTTTGACCACTCGACAGCTGCTCAAGGTCGAGTGTCATATATTACTCCACCACAAATCCATGATTATAAAAGAAAATTGTTATTACCATCTTTGTAGACAACGTTTCCATAGCCAAAACAAGCGGCATCTGTTGTGGGAGTACTAACCCACTGCTACCATTAGCGCCACCGCCCAGCTCCTCTCATCGTCACCGCTAAGCCATTGCCATTGCCATCATGGAAGGATTCTTCTTTGTTCTAAGAACGTTCCTTCCGCTCCTAAAATTCCGAAAACTTGGCTGAGACATTTTATCAAACACCTACCGTGCATCCACTTTACCTTCAAAAATAAACTTCGATCTCTCATAAACCCATCTCTGAATCTTTCCCTCCCACTCCCCAAACCTTCCCTTTGATTGATTCACTGTTCTTATTCCAACAAGAATCCCACGACACCAAATTACGGGAAAATGAAAAATGCCGCTTTCTTTGGGTCTGAACCATTTGTTGTTCCCTTGCGCCTACCCACTAATCATTTGGGTCTGAACCAAATCCCAACTTTGACGCGAGCCCATGAATCTCCATGTGGGTTCCTTTTAACTTATCCAAACCAATGCACGAATCCGGGCTAACCTCGGGTCTTGAGCTCGAGTCCTTGATCAAAGAGGCCATAATTGAAGTCGGTACCAAAAAGCACAAAAGGAAAGAGCGAGTTTAAAGACGAGGACTTAGAATCTAGATTCAACACCTGATATAGCATCACCCAAGAGGTTAGGTAGCCATAAAGAAGTAGCCACGAGTATATTTACCAAACTCCGTTTTCATTTTTTAAGACTATTTCTCAAATTTTAAAAACTTAATTGTCACTTCTTTTTTTTTTCAAATTATTATCTAAAACATTTCTATCAAACATGACTCGAGATTCGAGTCTATGCCGACGTTGTTTGCGATATTCAAATTTCTTACAGCTAACTTGTTCGTTAGATTAGAACAAGTATCACATAATCACTATCTCATTATTGCAAGAGTCCGATTGTGACACCCTATAAAAGTCCACCTCGAACACAGATTTTTGCTTCGTTCTTAACTCCGTCCCCTTTCATAAGGAAGGAGAATAGTCGAGAACGGGATGGAAAAGCTTCATCATCTCTATCCCCACCGTATAGACTTATCTTAATATATATTTTGATAGTTATCTAAACTTTTACTAAAAAAATTAAAGCATGTGTGATAAAAATAAAATAAAAAAATAAAAAAAAAAGTTTGATTGAAAGGCCAGCCCATTCTCCAATTATCGATTGCTGAGTCAGTAGGTGGGCCCCATGCCGCCACATCCGTTACTATCTAAATTATTAAGATTCTAGTTCCACTTTTTTCGACATTATCAGTGGCTTTTTTTCGACAATCCCCACGTGCTTAAATTCTATTTTATCTCTATTATTTTTTTTATTTTTTAAGTTTGAATTAATTTATTGGTTGATGAGCTTATGCTCAAAGTGGATAATATCGTATGATTGTAGAAAGTTGTGATTTCTAACATAGTATTAGAGTCATACTGAAAAAAGATTGTAATCTTCGAAGGTGTAGTAAAAAAGTGACTAAAGTGTCAAAAAAAATGGTGTACTTTGTTCGAGGGCTCTGGAGAAAGGAGTGGAGCCTCGATTAAGGAGAGGTTGTTCAAGAGTTCCATAAGGCTGAGAAGAGGCTTATAGTGTATTTTGTTCGAGAAGAGGATTGTTGAGAGTGAGTCCCACATTTATTTTTATTAGATCGACTCGAAAATAGAGTCATGATCCGATCCAACTCTGTTCTTAAAGAAACTAAGATAATCGATTATTTGTAATGACGGTTAGGATATATGGTAATTTTATTAAATTTTAGTTATGTAAAATAAGTAAAAGGAAAAAGAAAATCTAAAGGAAACAACCTAACCGTCCAACTCAACCCAACTCTCGGGTAAACCCAATCTTATTCTGAATGTTCGAGTCAAATTTCGAGATGGTTCTAAAGGTTTTATATACCGTTACTTTTTAGTCACAATTTTTGAAATTATGATAATTAAAAAAACAATAATAAACTTCAAAATTATTATTATTATTATTATTTTTTTAATTTGAAGATAACAAAACCAACAAAGAAAAAACAATTATATTATTAATTATTTAACTATGTAGGACAAGCTTTACAAATAATCGATGGATAAGTTAGTGAATGACGCAGCAATCAACCCAAACCATATATTTTTTTTTAATATTTTAATTATTAAAAAAAAAAACGCTAAAACTTTATATCACATCTTATTAATTATCTTAATTTTTTATTATCAAAACATAGTTAACTTAAAATATCATCACCTTCACTGTTTAACTTTTGGATAGAAAATGTAAATCTTTTTTCCTCTGCAAATTCTTGATGAATTCAAACAAGAAATTTTCTACCTGCAAAGACGGGACGTTCTTCACAGTAGAGATATCGACGGTGACTTCGGCGAGACGACAATGAAGAAAGCCTCCAACTTCTTGGGAATTAAGGACTAAAGTTTCGTAGTTGCTTTCTTTTTTCAGTTTTTCCCTTAAGTGTTTCATTTTCTAAGCAGCAGCAGCATCAGTCTGTGCTTTCAGAACTCAATCAGCCAAAAAAGTACATTTTTCCCCACCATTGATTTGAATTCTTTCTGCCGATCACCGTGCTCATTGGACAAACCGGTAGTTTCTTGAGCCGGTGAAGAACATCTCTGCTGTAACGAGTCGGAGATGGTCCTTCACTCCCGTTGTGGCGGTGGTATGTTCTTCCTCTGGTTTTCTATCTTCTTTCTCGAGACTCTGTGCTCTTGCTGCATTGCAGAAGTCGTTTGCGAGATTTGGGATATACTGCAAACATTTTAACTCAAACTTAAAACGTAACCACGAGTGAAAGATATTATTGAAACGAAGTACGGCGTATTTTATTTTGTTTTTGTGTACTTTGTAGTATAGAGAAAAGGTTTGAATAAAAACATAAGAGCAAAGACCAGAATAGGACGAAATAATAATAATGGTGTCGCAAACTTTTAAAAAGAAAAACAGTAACTAACAGCAACTCCATTATTGAGTGGAGTTCTAGTACTACTTTAAAGTGTGCTCATCAGTCCCAGTGCTGCCTCACTCTACTCCTCTTCCTTTGCTTCTTATATCAGTTCTCCATTATTTTTTGCTTCACCTTGAACCAGAAGAAATGGGCTTCAACCATTTGCTTCGTACGATTATCAAACACAAGGTTTCAGATCATCACTACCTTTTTTGCAAATCTGACTATCTTTCATCTTCTTCTTCCTCTTCCATATTTTGATTGACCCGATATCTGTCTGTTTTGTTCTCGCTAGTGTTTAACACCGAGCAAGTTTGTTGACTTAACTGCTAATTACGTTTATAGTGTTTTCTAATGGTGGGTTGTTGTACTCCATAGTTAGAGATTTGATTTCTTGGATTAAGTCGAAGAGAAAGACATTCAAATACGTCGTCCTTTCGTCCATCATTTTTATAGTATTTTTTTTTTTAACGTTTATAAAGGCTAAGAATTTTGAAAAAATAAAAGTATTTTTGAAATAAATGGCAATGTAGTGGGATATCTTTTGTAATTTAGCCATGTTTGGGGGCTTGGTGTTCTCATCTTTTGTAATTTAGCCATGTTTGGGGGCTTGGTGTTCTCACGAAAGAATAAAACGACCCCGAACGAGTTTGCTTTGGGCAGTGGGGTCAAGGGTAACTATTAAAGTGAGGTTCAGAATGTCCCCCCATACAACAAGCTTGTTTTCTCTGATTGGATGTTTTAGGGAAGTTTAATGTTATTCCTTATGAACTTATGCATCTTAATCCTTTCCAGCTTGGTTCATCTGCAAAAGATGTTGCTGCTTTTAGAACTTCTAGTGAGCGGCTCGCTCAGATTCAATTACTAACCCAGCCGTACGGTACCGAAGCATCATTGGAAAGGGATAATTGGACTACTGATTCAAGAAATGGTCAAGGGTAACTTGGAGCATCTGTGACAAAATTTTAAATTTCAAAAACGCCTTCCTTCCCGAACCTCCTAAAATTTCCTTTTCTGTACATCAGCATGTATATTCATCCATCCAAACCATTTTCAATTTGAAATTATATGAAATCTCACATATTTGACATCTGAAATCCCAGTTTCAAAGGCCATGGTATGATTGCTCCTTTCACGCCTGGTTGGCAGATTGCTGATGTGAATCCTTTGGTCATAGAAAAATCTGAGGTATACCTGGCCACTTTTCAAACCCACAAGGATTTAAGCTTTCTCGATCGGTTTATATCTGGAAAAATATTGGTTTGGTTATGGTAATTTATCATGGCTGCAGGGTTCCTATGTTTATGACATTAACGGGAAGAAATATCTCGACTCCCTGGCTGGTTTATGGTCCACATCCTTGGGTATTTTTACTATCTTAAGTATATAATTGTTTTTTATGTCTTGATATTTTTCTCGCATGATTTTTCTCGATCTTATGGCTCTCTTAAGAGTTCTAAACTCAATGTTACTGTATGCAGCTATGTAACTATCAAAGGACTGTCAAGCATATGTTTATGTTTGGTTTCTTTATTAGTCGTGTCAACTTTCTCATGTGTGTGTATGTGTGCTATAACGATTTCAGGTATCATAATCTGTTTTTTATTTCAAACAATGTGAAAATACAGACCATGTTCAATTCCATGCAGGCTCTGTTTTAAAATCAGGAGAAACTGTGTTTTAAGACACATTTAACTTTATTAGGATAAAATTTAAGAGTTGGGAATACTGAAATTATTCTTAGCAAGTTAAGGAGTCTAGAAAAGCTTACTGAGGCTAAATATATGGGCATGCTCTTGAAAAACATGGTGAATACAACAGGGGACTATGAAATAGGAATACAACATTAGAGACGTACCCGTAGTCTGTATGCAGTGAAAATCTTATTCAATCGCAATTCATGTGTTTCGAGTTGCATATGAATATTGGATCATCTGCAGGGGGAAGTGAGCCTCGGCTTGTTGCTGCTGCCACCGCTCAACTGAATACCCTGCCATTTTATCATTCGTTTTGGAATCGCACAACAAAGCCATCTCTGGTATTATATTAACTTCTCAGAATAAAGCTACTAAAAATTCTTACACTTTGATGTCATGACATGAAAGTTCAGTAATAAAGATACCAAACACAGTCAGAAAAGAATTAATCTCAAAAGAAAAGTAAAAAAATAAAAACTTGAAGATGTTCCGAGGTTGAATCACAAATAAAGACACTAATATACAATCAGCTACTTCAGTGTAGCAATATTCTAACAAATTCATACCTTCGCTGCATTTTTATCACGTTGTCTCCTGCAGGATCTAGCAAAAGAAATACTAGAAATTTTTACAGCAAGGAAAATGGGGAAGGTGTTCTTTACAAATAGTGGATCAGAAGCAAATGACTCTCAGGTGCCTCTTTTGCACCTCTACTCTCCATTGTTATCATGTCAGTATGACGTCTTGCAAATTTTATGTATGCAATGGTTAAATTCTCCATGAAAATTTAATTACCTGTTACCCAGCTACTGAAGGAAAAGAGGTGAGGTAAATATGAAACCTTAGTTTAAGATGATTCAGTGACCAGTTTAACTGAATGTAACTGTACAAGTTTGGGATATTTACCTTATATAGGCGTTGATCATAATTGCAATCTTCAAGTCAATTCAATTGACGTTTGTCAGCAATGTGCTCTGCTGCTTGATGTAAAATCAAATGAATAACATCATTTTCTAACTCATGTAGGTAAAACTGGCTTGGTATTATAATAATGCACTGGGGCGACCAAAAAAAAAGAAAATCATCTCTCGTTTGAAAGGGTATGTTCAATATCCAATGCTCCGTTCAAACATGCTCCATTCATTTTACTCATCCAAATCTTGATATGTTTGCTATCTCAGGTACCATGGTTCCACACTTATAGCGGCCAGTCTTACCGGGTAAGAAGATTATAAAAGACATCTTGTCAGGAAATTCTCCTAATACATCAAATAGTTTTAAATAACTTGCTTGGCCAATGCCTATTAACTAGGGAAATTTTATTGTAGGATTCCAGCTTTGCATCAACAATTTGATCTTCCTGTTCCATTTGTCCTGCACACAGACTGTCCTCACTACTGGCGCTATCATCTTCCCGGTTCTCACTGAACTCTGCCCTAATTTATAGGCAATGAATTTGATAGAATTACCTTTAAAATGCTAAATGTGACAATAATATGATAGGTGAAACCGAGGAAGAGTTCTCATCAAGATTAGCTAACAATTTAGAGAATCTCATTCTGAAGGAAGGACCTGAGACAGTAATGCCACAAAACCTGACGTGAACTTTCAAACATTTTATATATGCAAAAAATCTTTAGTATTTCTAACCTTTGCTTCTTTCAGATTGCTGCCTTTATTGCCGAACCCGTCATTGGATCAGGTGGTGTGATACTTCCTCCTGCAACTTATTTTGATAAAGTAAGCAGCCACTTCATTTGCAACTTTGAAACATCGACTGCTTGCACTTTCTTATTTAGATGCAGCCCTGAGTGCTTATAGAATTCCACAAATTTTCAAAATAAGAGAAAATAAGAGTTGAAAATTATTTACTAATTTTCAATTTTATGAGCAGGTCCAAGCTGTGCTGAAGAAATATGATGTCCTTCTCATTGCAGATGAGGTTATACAATATTACTGCCTCCATACCTTTCACTTCTCTTACCTAGTATCCTATAACCCCTTCCCTGCCATAGGTTATTTGTGGTTTTGGAAGGCTTGGGACGATGTTCGGATGTGATAAATACAATATTAAGCCAGACTTGGTATCAATAGCTAAGGTGAAATGAAGTTGAGCTGAATTGAAGAATCAAAACCGCTTGTTTAATGTTTATAGCCTAAGAAGAAGATATTTCCATATAATACCTGTTTTTGGCGCTGAAATTTGCAGGCTCTTTCTTCTGCATATGTACCTATTGGCGCTGTCATTGCCAGCCCTGAAGTTTCAGATGTCATACACTCTCAAAGCAATAAGCTTGGTATGTTAGCAATGGCACAAACAAAAAGATTTTCGTAAGAACAAATTGATCGTCTTTTTGTTCAGGTAATTTTGCCCATGGATTTACATATTCTGGACATCCTGTTGCATGTGCTGTGGCAATTGAAGCACTGAAGATCTACAAGTACGTTTTTCATGCCTATACCAAAGATCTACGCTCTAATCTTTTCAATCTTTTCTAATTTTCTTTAACAGGTGTTAACCAACCTCAAGACTACCTTGAATGTTAATTATCTGATCAAGGCTAACAGTTTATATCTTTTGACATATATCTGTAACTTAACATTTTGGTGTTCGATATTGTGCAATGCCCTTCAATAGAGAGAGAAATATTCTTGAGCAAGTAAATAACATCTCTCCAAGGTTTCAAGATGGTATAAAAGCTTTCAGTAACAGCCCCATCATTGGAGAGGTAACAGTTCGAGTAATTGTTTCATTCTTGTTTGGTACTCCAATACGCTTGCTTGTGTCAACTTGTTTAGTCTTTTTGCAGATAAGGGGGACGGGATTGATTTCAGGCACAGACTTCACAGACAACAAATCACCCAACAGTCCATTTCCTCCTGAATGGGGTATTTTCCTTTTGTTGTCAAGAGTTTCCATTCAACTATTCTATCATTGATCATGTGGATTAAACTCTATCGCTAAAAGGACTTTTGAATCTTATCAAGACTACACATCTTATAAATTCAATGCCCATTTTGGAATCAGCAACCAAAAGTACTACACTTTACAGACAGATCTCAACTACAACATGTTGAGTAATAACTTGATGAACACAGCAACTCAACGGTTTCTTACAACATGAAGGTTGGATACTGCCTCTAGATTTGTTCTAACAAGCTGTCCATTTAATACAGGGATAGCTGCATATTTTGGTGAAATGTGTGAGAAGCACGGAATGTTAGTACGTGTTTCCGGGGATACTATAACAATGAGTCCTGCCCTCATTGTCTCACCTGAAGAAGTTGATGAGGTACCAAACAGATTCTAACATCCTCCTCATTATGTTGCAACATATCCTTCCATCAATTGATTGTCTTCCAGAAAGACAAACTGATATTTGGGGTGGGGGGATACAAATTTGTTGGTATTAGAATAATCGAGCATCCCTGTGAGCATTAATGAGTAGAATACGAAACTTGATTGCTATAATCCTGAAAATGGTATTATTTTCAGATTATAAGCATCTTTGGGAAAGCATTGAAGGATACTGAAGACAGGGTGAAGGAACTCAAATCTCAACAGGAGTAGTCGAACCAAGCAAGTCTAATCGAAAACGTCGAAAGGTTTGTTTGGATGAATGTATAAGGTGGGTGTTGAATTACAGTGTATGCTCCAGTGGGTTATGAAAAAAGAATTGGGGCTAGTGTGTTATCTCAGTTGTAGTTGTTCATTTCCTGAATAAGCCCAAGTATTATGAATATCTGTTTATCACACCACCATTATTGGTCTGTTTATTGTGTTAATCCATTGTATTTGAAAATAAGTATTGGAGGAATTGCGTTATCACAACATTTCAAGTTTCAACTAAGCAATGAACTCTCATACGATCATTGGAATCTCATGATGAAAAGGAAAAACATTAATAATTATAAAATGCCAAAAGGATACACTACGAACAACGTTTAGTAGCATACGCACTGGACATAGAGATTCATAGTTCTAAATAGATTCTAAAAAAAAATGAAATCATACCGTCAGAACCTAAGCTTAGTGAAAAACCACCTGTTCTCCAATCTCTTTTTGATCTCCTTCGACGCAGCGACCTTCGAGCCCTTCGACTGCAAACAATCGACATTAACCACGTCCTTGAGATCGACGTCAAGCGTGTACCTTGTCGGCATGAGGTGCTAGTAGTTCACAAGCTTGATGAATGCCTTCACTCTCAATTTCTTCGTGGAATCTTTACGAACTACCATGTTCGGGTACTTTTTAATCCCTGAAACCAATCAATGGCCGTAGTGTCGGTCACGAGTTCATTCATCGAAGCTGCGGACGATCACAGCATTCCGACCAGCGAATCGGCATTGCAGAACAACAACGGCCTTGTTAGGCTTGATGAACTCTCGGACCGAACCGCTGAGGGGTTGGTTTATAGTCGGTTCAATCGAACCCCCTAACTATAATTTTAGCATCCTCATAAATAAATATAATTAACCAATTTGAATATAGTACCCGTCCTTTCTTTCTTTTAAAGGTATCCGTCGAGGTAGGAAGGTGCTCGAGAGTTGCACTATCACTGAAGGGTCTCGACTCGGGACTTTAGTCGTATTCTTTTTAGGGGTAAATTTGTATTCTTTTGTATCCCGTACCCCATTTTCTCCGTTTGTAAATAACTTATAACTTTTTACTCCAGTGTCGTATGTCTTTTGAAATCCCGCAAAATTTTACCGTATTTTCTACATTTTCAATGTGTTTTATTTCGATTTTATGTTGTTTGTGTTTGATTTCATCTTTTCAGCACGGTCCGATCTTTTGAAACCTCGAAAATTGGATCGTGACAGATTAATATCAAGTAATCCGTGACAGTACACAACCAAATTTTCAAAGAGTTAGTTTCAAAAATATTTTAATCCACGGGATGATTCATAAGTCATAAATAAACTAATGAAGGAAGAAAAACGCTCACATTCTCTTTGTCAAACGGCTGAATTTTCAAAGAGAATTATAATTTAATTTTGTGACGTTACGTTACGTAGGTGTCACAATTTTAGCCTCTTTTTTATATAATATATTAAAAATATATATCTTTCGTGGAACATATGCTTCCGACCGAATTCATCGTAAATATTAATTTTAATATATTTAAATGGATAAAATTATCTTAGAGATTATCACTTAATCTCTCATTAAACTCCAACTTAATTAACATAAAATATTCCAACTTTATACGATCAAATCCATGTTCATGAAAAATGAATATATTCCGTATTAGAAATTATTATAT